GACATGGCTTTTTCAGCAAGCGGGTCTGACCTAGGGTGAATTTTAAATAGGGACAATTTTAATGATTTTAATAAGACACAGCGATAAATATTTGGTTTTTAATTGGCTTTTATAGGGGATAATGTTTTATATTGTTTTAACATGCTGTGAGCCGCCCTGAGTCCCATGGGGAGAAGGGCGGCATATAAGTTAATGAAAAATAAAATAAAATAAATAAAATGTATTTAAAGAATACAGGTAGTCCTAGACCAGTGATGGCGAACCTTTTAGAGACCGAGTGCCCAAAAACTGCCCCCATCCCCGCTCCGCCTCCCGCCCTGCCTGTTCCGCCCCCACCTGCCCCCTGCACCACCCACCCAGCCACGCACCACCTCCATGGCCCGCCACAGATTGCTCAGGCAGCCCTGCAGTGCCATGGCAGCCACGCCCTCCACCCTCACCCAGCAGCATCATCTGCACGCTATGGGACACGAGGCTGGAGTCTTGTCCCTGCTGCCCAGCTATGTCCTTGGCTGCGCTGTTCTGTGCGGGCTGTGCCTGGGGGTGACTCTCCTCCAGGGAAGGTGCTGGTGAGGAGGGGGCTGCAAGAGGAGGTGGGGCTGAGGCGACAGCGCGCGTGCCCACAGAGAGGGCTCCGAGTGCCGCCTCTGGCACGCGTGCCATAGGTTCACCACCACTGTCCTAGACTTACAACAATTCATTTAGTGACTGTTCAAAGTTACAATGGCACTGAAAAAAAGTGATTTATGACCGTTTTTCACACTGACAACAATTACAGCATTCCCGTGGTCACATGATCAAAATTCAGATGCTTGGCAACTGGCTCATATTTATGATGGTTGCAGTGTCACGGGGTCATGTGATCACCTTTTGCTACCTTCTGACAAGCAAAGTCAATGGGAAAGCCAGACTCACTTAACTATCATGTAACTGCAGTGATTCACTTAACAACAGTGGCAAGAAAGCTCATAAAATGGAGCAAAATTCACTTAACAATGTCTCACTTAGCAACAGAAATGATGGTGTCCAAACTTGAAGCCATCATTTGGCTATTGCAACTTCCTCCCATAAGACGTGGTTCAACTGAGAGATATTTCTTCCAAATTGCCTTCCCAAAGTCGTTTGCAGATCTACTGACTGGAGTAAATGTTTAAAATGAGGCTGAAACAGCACTAGGCACACATCCCTAAAGAGGCAGATGTCTAATGCAAGGAACAGAATAAGATAACGGAGAAACAAAAGCAGATTTATACTGAACACATAAGGGGAAGCATAGGGATCTGATAACATTCGTCTGTTTAAATTAGATCCATTTTCTGAATCTGAATCATAAACTCAACCAAAAGGCTGAACTCGCACAATATGTTAAGCTGCAAAAATGCACACTAAAGTTAAAAGTAACCAAACTTCGCACTCTGTACAGACATAGGCTGAAATTTTTAAATGACTTGGTTAAATGTGCTGCACAACTCTGATTACAAAGACCAGAGAAGAACAAGAGCTTCTTATGTAGGGTGAAAATAGTTCTGCCTCTCTTCTCCTTTCCAGTTAAGCTCCCTCAATTCTTTGTTTGCCCTCTTGTAACAGAGTTCATTGCTTGGATTTGCCTGTGTCATTTGCTTCCAGAGTTAATTTCACTCCTGAATAAACTCCTTTTGGCCCTTCAGTATTACTAGACCTCCTGATATGGTAGCACTGAGAATAATGTTTATTTTCCTCTTTTGTTTATTAAGCACGCAGTGGTCCTCTTTAACTCAGCAAGCAAGATTGACAAAAGAGCGCTCATCTTCACACTCAAAAAGGGGAGGTCCTTTAATTCATTCATCTCCTTTTTTCAATATCAGTAGTACAACAGTAAGTTGGGTCTTTGGCCCTGGAAGTGTCTGATCTTGACTCATAAAATTATCCATTTAATGAAGGTGTCCATTAAGAGTCTACGGTATTAATGTTATGCTTTTCAAAACAAAAAAACAAAAATCAAGCAAATTAACATTATGGACTTGTAATGGGTTCTTAAAACTGCCATGAACCCAACAAGAGTGTTTTGAATGTCTAGGGAGGGAGACTCAACCTTCCCAAATGCTCCATAGTTTGAAGTAGATTCAAACTATAGATTCCGAAAACTATAGATTCCCAAAATTAAATCCATAGGATTTTTATGTCTATGGCTTTGCCTGGAGCTCTTAAGCATCAATTCCCAGAATTCTTCAGAAGGTATAGGCACTATGTTGATGTTCAAAGGCTTCAGGATGACAAAGGCAGGCATAAACATCGAATGGATTTAGATTTGGGGGATTTATAGATTATGCACCAGGTTGGAGAAGATTGCATTATGCCATCTAATGTCACTTAAAAGCATTCACACATTTCTGGCAGCAGTCCTTCCACCCACTGATTGAATTGAAGACCAACCAGAATGGTCTTCTCTGGTCATTTAGTTGCCAGCTTCCAACTCAGTCTGCTGTGCAAATCCAATTATCTGTGATTTATTCAGCAAACCATAATGATCAGAGAAGCAGGTCACCGAGGCCTCTTCAAATGACTTACAATGGCCAAATGCCCTTTAGCTGTGCTCCTACAAAACTCTCTCAACAGTAGCCATGGCTGACTGTGTTTTGCTCACTTCCCTCTTTTCTTTTAAAACAATAAATCTAGACTGGCTGGCTGTGACTGTGCTTTGCCACTGAATGCACAACTTCCATTGGCTGGAGGGCAGCATCAGCATCTGCGCCGCTTTGCGGCGAAGGTTGTTGAGAGTGTGGTTGCGCAGCAATTCCCTCGGCACCTGGATGAAGCAGTCTATCTAGACCCATACCAGTCGGGCTTCAGGCCGGGACACAGCACGGAAACGGCATTGGTCGCGTTGGTTAATGATCTCTGGAGGGCCCGGGACAGAGGTTATTCCTCTGTCCTTGTTCTTTTGGACCTCT